ACCTATTCACCGCCGCCTGTGCCGATACCACCTCGGCCGCAGTTTTCTGCTCCCCAGCCGCAACTCGGCGTCTACTCCGACCAATGGCGGACCTACGACAATCGTCCGATATGTTTTGCGTGTGGTGGTGTTGGCCACGTGGCGCGTTATTGTTGTCCTCGCCAGGCTGCTTCGAACATTCGACGAATGCCCTCTTTCGACCCTCAGTTTTTTTTTCTATGCCTTCAAGCCCTCCTTCCTCTTCCTTTCCCCTGATCGTCAACTCGGCCCCACCCACGGCGCCCCATCTCCACGTTCACGTTCCCCTTCCCCTATGTGTCGCCGTTCCAGACCCATCAATCAGGAAAACTAACGGCCGCAGTTACCGAGGCACGAACTGCGTCCCCGTCGCCATGCACAAGTTCTGGCCCCTGTCCAGCTAACGTCATTGAAGTGTGAGTCGATGGTGTTGTCGTCATGGCGCTTGTCGACACCGGAGCCGCTACATCCGTCCTTTCTGTCCACCTGTGCCACAAACTCCGCAAAGTACTGATGCCATTATCCGGTCTCTCTCTTAGAATGGCTAACGCACAAAGTGTAACACCTCTCGCAGCCTGTACCACACGAGTCGTCATCGAAGGGATTGTGTATATCATCGAATTCGTAGTGCTACCCTCGTGTTCCCATGACATGATACTCGGCTGGGACTTCCTTGCGAATAATAATGCCGTCATTGACTGCTGTCGCGCTGAACTTGAGCTGTCTGCACTTCCTGATGTTGATGCTGTCGAAGCCTCCCTGCTGTATTATAAACTGTCTGTTTTTGATGACACCTCTGTACCACCGCGCTCTTCTCCTGCTGGTGACTGTCGTGTGACGCTATTTCCGACGGTGATTTTCTATTTACGCCCTCTGCCCTGTTCACTCAACGCAAATGTTCTCCACTGCCCGGTGCTCTGCTTACTCTCCACCATGGCGTCACGAAGATGCTCGTGTACAAAACGCTAGAAGGGCCCTTACCTTTATTCCATGGTGAATGTCTTGGTCACGTGCATCCGATCGAGGCCCGTCACATTTTGACGCTTCGTCTATTTTACTTTCTACAGACCTCAGCGCACTCATTTCTGACTCTGTTGTTGACCAGTCACTCCTTGACGCTTTCCACCACTCCATCAATGTCGCAATGTCTTCATCAGAATAAAGGCAGTTGGTCAACTTGCTGCGAAAGTTTCGCACTTCTTTTGACAGCCATGCTTCTGGCCTCAGTCGCACATCGAACATATCTCACAAAATTGACACAGGAAGCCATACACGTCTACGGCAGCGTACCTACCGAGTCTCGGTGTCGGAGCGCCGTGTTATTGACGACCAGGTTGCTGATATGCTTCAGCGGGGTATTGTACAGCCTTCTAACAGTCCCTGGGCGTCACCGGTCATTCTTGTTAAGAAGAAGGATGGCTCCATTCGGTTTTGTGTCGACTACCGACGCCTAAACAAGATCACCCGTGAGGACGTTTACCCGTTATCGCGAATAGACGACGCCCTTGACTGTTTGCAGGGAGCAGAATACTTCTATTCACTGGATTTACGATCTGGATACTGGCAAGTTTCTATGAAAGCATCTGACCGACCAAAAACAGCATTTGTCACACCTGATGGATTATACGAATTTGCCGTTATGCCTTTCGGCCTTTGTAATGCTCCAGCCACTTTTGAAAGAATGATGGACACTATTTTACGAGGCCTCAAGTGGAACACATGTTTATGCTACCTCGATGACGTAGTTGTCTTTTACACTGATCTCGACACTCATTTAAATCGTCTCGAGCACGTTCTCACACACCTCACCTACGCCGGCCTTCAACTCAACCTCAAAAAGTGTCGTTTTGGTGCCCAGAAGCTCACCATTCTTGGCCAGAGTGTATCGCGGGACAGCATACTTCCCGACCCTGCCAAGCTTCAAGCAGTCGCCGATTTTCTGAAGCCAAAGAACCTAAAGTAACTTAGAAGTTTTGTCAGCTTCTCGTCATACTTCCTACGCTTTATTCAAAATTTTGCTTCCACCTTTTCACCTGGTCAGCAGCATGCGACAATGCGTTCACCAAATTACGCCGCCTGCTAACTTCACCACCCATCCTCCACCACTACTATCCTGCCGCTCTCACGAAGGTTCATACTGATGCCAGCGATGTTGGACTTGGCGCTGTGCTCGCGCAACGAAAGGCAGGGTTTGATGAATATGTCCTCGCCTATGCAAGCCGAACTCTGACGAAAGCCGAGGCTAACTACTTCGTGACAGAGAAAGAGTGTTTAGCTATTATTTGGGCGCTTGGAAAATTTCGCCCCTACTTGTATGATCACGCATTCGAGGTCATCACTGACCCCACGCCCTTTGTTGGATATCCACACTTAAGGACCCTTCCGGACGACTTGCTCGCTGGGCGCTCAAACTTCAGGACTACGACATCCGCGTTATTTACAGATCTGGTCGTAAGCATACGGACGCCGACGCCTTTTCTCGCTCACCCATATTGGATGAAGGTGTTTGCCTTTCTTTCCTCGAGCCTGCACTTGCGCCATCCGCCTTGTGCAACAGGACTGTGGAACAGCGAAAGGATCCCTGGATCAGTGGCCTGATAAGGGTTCTTTCTGATCCTTTCACTCCTTCGCCGTCTCGCGCTCTCCGCCGCCAGGCTAGCAACTATCGCCTAAGGGATAATCTTCTTTATCGACGCAACTATCTTTCCGATAGTTGCAAGTGTCTCCTTGTGATACCCCGCCATCTTCGAGCTGTTATCTGCAAAGCTTTTCACGCTGACCCACAGTGTGCCCCAACTATCTTTCCGATGGTTGCAAGTGTCTCCTTGTGATACCCCGCCATCTTCGAGCTGTTATCTGCAAAGCTTTTCACGCTGACCCACAGTGTGCCCACGCAGGCCTCTTCAAGACATACGCTAGGCTTCGACTCAGATTTTATTGGCGTGGCATGTATAACTACGTGCGGAAATTAATTCGCTCGTGTGCTCAGTGCCAACAACGAAAGGTACCTCCCGGGCAAGTCTACCCGTCACAACCTCTTCCTTGTCCTAGTTGACCTTTTGATCGCGTTGGCTTTGACATTTACGGACCCCTACTATCAACTCTAGCTGGTAATCGCTGGATTAATTTTGCGATAGACCATCTGACACGCTACGCTGAAACGGCCGCGCTGCCGACTGCCACAGCCCGTGACGTTGGAACGCTTCTGTTGCGATGTTTCGCTCTGCGTCATGGTGCCTCTCGCGAGCTCTTAAGGAACAGAAGCCGTGCCTTCCTTTCTCACGCCTTGAAGGCATTACTCAACGAATGCCGAATCGTGCACCGCACACGTACAGCATACCACCTTTGCAACGAATGGCATGACGGAGAGCTTCAACCATACTCTTGACAATATGCTGTCGAAATAGATCGCCTCTGATCATTCGAATTGGCACCAAGTTCTCCCGTTCGTCACCTATGCGTATAATACAGCCGTACAAGCTACTACTGGGTTTTGGCCGTATTTTTCTCTATAAGGACGAGAACCTTCCAATACAGTAGACACTATTCTTCCATATAAACCTGATGAGTTAGAAAGTACAACTCTGTCCGAAGCTGCCCGACATGCTGAAGAATGCCGCCAGCTCGCCCGCTCTTTTTCTATCGAGGACCAGTGGCAGCAGCAATCCCGCCAGCCTGGGGGTCCGTTCGGCTCCAAACTTTCCACCTGGTTCATCAATATGGCTTCGGGCACCAGCTACTGCACCTGGCCGCTCCGCAAAACTTTTTCCCAAATACCTCGGGCCATACCGCGTTATAGAGCAAATGTCACTCGTGAACTATATCGTGGAGCCCATCATCCCATCTACAGACCTACGCTACTGCGGCCGCGACACTGTCCACGTCTCTCGCCTCAAGCTATACTACGACCCGTAAGTCGTTTCTTCTCCTGAATCCGCCAGGATGGCGCCTTTTTCTGTGGAGGGCAATTGTTGTGAAGAGCAGAGTGTCTCTTGCAGAGCAGAGTGTGTCTTGTTATGAGATTTTACTACTATCAAAAAATATTGTGTACAATGGTGTCATTGCAGCGTACTGCATACGATAGTTGAGCTCTTTTTTAGGGCATGCTTTTGTTTAATGGAATCTCGCAACACATTTTCAAGTTACTATTGAAGGACCTCGGTATTGGACCTCGGTATTGGAAGGGAAATTGATCAAAGACGTCTTTCTTTTGTTAGACTTGATCTCTTGAAGGCAACAGACAGTGAAACCAAGGAAAGTATAGGGGACATTAGTTTGTCGTCTTTAACTGTGAAACATAATATGCACGTGAAGAAACTAATGTGGACGAAAATAGAATTTGCTGCTCCGGGGCTACAACCTTAGGACAATGCATCCCCACTTTATTTCTTTGAGTTTCTAATGCATTTAATACATTACTACAGATAATGTCTCCTATATTTTCCTTGGTCTGTCGATTACAAGAGAGATACTGATGTTGGCCACGAGAATATGTTGCTTGGCTGCTGACCCGAAGTTCACGCATCTGACTCTATCCATGACCCTGCACACTGTGATGTCATTGCCCACTAAAAAACACCATAGTTAAAATTTCTGGAAGCTGCTACTATGGTGCGCCTCATAATTGCACATAAAAATGTTGGTAATATTAATATTTGAACATAATTCAATGCAGCGCACGACTACGTAGACACAAGAGAAAAGGGGGACAAACAATGTTGAAATATGTTCAAGTACTGTCACCAACTGGCCCAGCTTTCAGTCCTTGGTATTATTATTTCTTCTAATGATTTGTGCACTAGGCTTGCTATCCTGCCATGCTTGAACAGGATGAAGTGTCGCAAGTGTGATTCACTCTAGATGGTACTCAACAAGTAGTCCCCAAGCACATGTGGCACCAGCTACCAGTTAGCTTTATGATACTGTGTAGCCATATATATCCATAGAAGATTGCTGAGAGTGGCATCATCTTGGTTTTCCAGAGGTGGCGCGCCAGTATGGAGTGTTTCTCTGCCAGGCTGGCCTGTGGGAGCGGGCAGTGGCGACTTTCCAGGCCCTGGCAGAGCTGAGCTTGTGCTGTCCCTCGCAGCTGAGGGAGGGCCCCCTGAACGAGGCCCTGGCCCTGCTGGAGCCATTCTGGGACAGCGGTGCCGCTCGCTTTGGGGACCGAGGTGCCCGGGGCTGGGACCATCTCATGCGACTCAGTGGGCAAGCTGCTTTGGAAGCGGCCACGGCGCGACATGGCACTGAAGGTCTGTTGCAAAATGCCTCCTGTAGGACAGATGGGCCACTTGCGAATAGCACCCAGAGTCCTTCAGTACTTTCACTCGTCATGAAGCTTCCGGGAAAGCTTTATATAGGCACAGGTAGCAGCCACTGGGAGTGCCCTCGCTCTTGTGCATGCATCGGAGCATCACTGGCGCTACAGTTTTACGGCACACATCGAAACTGCAAGATGTGAATAAATGTTCAGTAACATCGAAAGTTGAGGGAGTTGGTGTTAGTTCATGATTACTTATGAAGCAGCGCATAGAGACAAGAAACAAAACGAACGAAAGGCTTCCCTTTTGTTCCTTTTGTGCCTTGTCTCCATGCTCTGCTTCATAAGTAATCATGAATAAATCACACGTGAATGTTGATGATTTCGCTAGAGTGGTATTACCTTCGAAAAAATTCCTGGAAAGGTCTAATGCAGTGCAATTTAGCATTGAATGAGGCCTTGTAGCTAGAAACTTTGTGGCAACAAACTTATGCTGCCCCTGCTGTGTGATGTACTACTGCTATGAAAGCATGTCCTTTTTTCATTCCTCTTAAGCATCTAACCACAATTTGTGGATGATCCAGAGTCCTTGAACAACTGTTGCGGATGTTGATGCATCCGAGAAGCACAGTTGTCACAAGTCTTGACTGTGCATATGAAATCTTTTAGGCTATACACCTGATGTTTGATTATGGAGGTACCTTAAAATAGCTTTGTATTTATCGAACCGACAGTCAGCTTAAATGAATTATTGCTTTGAAGGATGCGATTGACAAGGATTAGGGGAGCCTTCATGTAGCTTTTCCCTAGTTTTTAGGTTCTATTATGCATTGATTTATTGCTACAGTGCCATGCCGCATTTAAAGTTGTGTTGCTCATGCAAAACTGCATAGTTTTCACAGTCCTTCTGTTCTATCTTAGGGCTAAAGTCTTGTATGTCTCATCAAATGCAAAATTGACCACTGGCATCTTGTGTTGAGGGCATCACTATGACTGATAAAAAAAATTATCACGATGACTGATAAAAAAATTATCACATCGTGACATCACCACTCGACTTCATCACGACCTCACAGATGGTCACAATTTGGTATGTCACGATGTCATCACATAATGTGACATCACATAGTAAGGCCATCAAACTTCAAACATCATCCCTCAAAATCATTTGAGGTGCAGAAAGCCTGTAATGTGCCCAATCCTGGACGCAATGTGAAACCACGCTATAGGTGCAGACAGTTTCTTTCGGATGGATCAGTACAGTGGTGGAAGAAGCTTTATCTTTCGAGTCATCTTAGGGAAAGACATAAGGGGTTTATTCCACTCCTGAGTTGCAACTTTGATTATTAATGAAAATTTACAGGCAATTATGCCAAGAAAAGTATAGATGATATTATTAAAAGTAATTGTAATGTAAATGCAAAGAAAAGTGGATGAAAAAATAATTTGCGGTGGGCAGGGACCAAACCTGCGACCTTCAAATAACGCGGGTGCCTTCAAGTGGTGTGCAAGGGACTATTGGTCAGTTGCCAGCTCGTGATAAGATAACGTGTTACGTGATGCCAGCCGGCAAAAAATGAGTGTCCCGCACTTGCGATGATGGCAACAGACAGCGCTGACTGACGCTCTACGTTCAATGCACATACATACCCCATAAAGTAGATGCCAGCAGACTGGACACAGTGTAGCCTCACGACCTCCACTTGCACCACGCAAAGCTCCCCCATTGAATTACGGTAAAGCTTCATGACCCTTAAAAGTACTGAAGGACTCTGATAGACCCAAACCTCGATATAATGAACGCGAATGTAATGAAATATTAGTTATAACAAAGTAAATGAAAAATAGTTTTGCAATATATATATTGTTAGGGATATACATTTTTAACGAATTTTCAGATGTAATGAACTTACTTTCGTGTAAGGCACAGCTTTGTTATAATGAGGTTTGAGTGCAGTGCATTGTAATAAGAATTGTAACAGTGCTGGTGTGTGAGACTGCAACTTTTCGTTGTATTGAAACTCCAACACATTTTCAAAGTGTAACTACAGTAGACCCTCATTAAACAGAACTTGGAGGGACTAGGGAATTATGTTCCATTTAACAGAAGTTCTGGTTACCGAGAGATGACCAGAGGTGCGGAATTCAGGAATGAAAAAAATCCTGTCATAAGCATTTGTTCCATTTGAATGGGTGCTAAAGAGCAAAATGATTTTTCACACATTATAAAAGTACAGCTTCAATATCTCCAATACACCACTCTTACCGCGACATAACACTTGAAGAAAAGAAAACGCCAAAAAAAAATTTTGGTGGAGATGTCATTTTGAGATTCCCACTTCAAGAACCGTGATCTCATAGAATTCGAAGGTATCTACTTGGTCGTCATAGCTTCTAAACTATAAAAATGAAGTACATTGTCATCTCTGGGTGTCATAGACCTAGGATACAAAGTTTCAGAAAATTTCATCGAGTCAGTGTTGCGAAAATACGAAAAATTCTTTTTCAAATTTTCAACGTCACACAAGAAGATTTCAGCTCCAAATTTAAAAAATAAAACATCAGCTTTGATTAATTCCACTATGAATGTACTTATGATAATGAAACTTATGGCATATAGATCTCAGTGTGCAGTTTGTAATATAAACCAATTATTTTTCTTTAGTGCCATTTTAAACAGCAGTTTCGTTATCAAGAACTCGGAGAAAGTTGCTCTGGTTAGGCGTAGAATGAGATGAAACACGGTCTCTGAAGAAGTCTTAACTGGGTGCTGTCATTGCCGTTTAAGATATTTTCGTTTACTGAGAGTCTACTGTATCTTGTACAGTGTAATCACCGATAGATTCATTTTTTACTTTATACATCTTTCTTTGACTCTATACCAGGATTATGGATTCTCTGAAGTACCCTAAAAGTCCGCATATAATCTGGGTTGTAATTTGGGGATAGCAACAGCTCGAAAAAAACATTTTCATCCAAATATAGTGTTAACACGACATCGGCAACGAAAGAGCATCATAAACGACGAAGACAATGAAAGCGACCGTGATCGTGTTGTTGTTGCTGCTGTTCCTCCATCTTGGCTGTAGCTGCCTCTGACTCTCCCTGTATATTTTGTATATATTGTTACGGGGAATAAAGTATACACTGGCGAGCAAATGCGTACTGCCGAATATACTGGCGAGCTAATGCGTACAATGCTGCTGTAGTCCGAGCACGTTTACGTTCAGCACTTCGTCGTCGTCATTCTCAGGCATCTACTTAGCCCGTGACATTACCCGCCGGCGGCAGAAGCACCGTCCCGGTGCGATCAATTCTTGAGGCGTGAGTAGTATGGTTTAAGCCGTGAGACGTGCACTATATCGGTCGGGACTGAAGCTGTTACTGACGTGGTATGGAGTGGAGCTATCTCATAGGTCACGCTGGTGACCTTGCGTATGACGCAGTAGGGGCCAACGTAACGGGACATCAGTTTTTCGCAGAGACCAACACGACGTGATGGTAACCACAGCAAGACGAGCGACCCAGGAGAGTACTGTACGTCACGGTGCCGGCGATCGTAAGCAGTCTTTTGGTTAAGCTGCGAGGCACATAAACGATCCCGAGCGACTTGGCGGGCGATGTCAGCTCGGGCCAGGGCATCACGAGCATCAGCAGTCGATGAGAGGGCGTCAGATTGGAGCATGGTGTCCATGGGCAAAGGCAGGTCATTACCAAACAGTAGGTAAAAAGGTGAAAATCCAGCTGTATCATGACGTGAACTGTTGTATGCGAAGGTAACGAAAGGTAAGTGGATGTCCCAATCTTTGTGATCCTTGAAGACGTACATCGCTAACATATTCGTCAGGGTACGGTTGAGGCGTTCCGTGAGGCCGTTGGCTTGCGGATGGTACGCTGTAGTGAACTTGTGGTGGGTAGAGCAGGATCGCAGGAGCTCGTCGACTACTTTAGATAGAAAACAGCTGCCGCGGTCGGTGATCAACTGACGAGGAGCACCATGACGCAGAATGATGTCATAAAGAAGGAAATCGGCTACATCAGTAGTGCAGCTGGTGGGGAGGGTGCGTGTAACGGCGTACCGCGTTGCGTAGTCGGTAGCAATAGCAATCCACTTACTACCGGTGGCCGACACGGGAAAAGGTCCTAGAAGATCGAGGCCGACTCGGAAAAATGGCTCATCTGGTACTTTAATGGGCTGGAGGGTACCAGCAGGTCTCAGAGCAGGTGTCTTGCGGCGCTGGCATAGGTCGCATGCTGCAACGTACTGTCGCACAGAACGGTAGAGGCCAGGCCAAAAGAATCGGCGGCGAATGCGGTCATACGTGCGTGACACCCCTAGGTGTCCAGCGGAGGGGGCATCATGCAGCTGGGCCAAAACGTCTGAGCGAAGATGCATAGGAACGAGTAAAAGCTCAGCACCATCAGGGCGGGCGTTGTAGCGTTGCAAGATGTCGTTGTGAAGAACGAACAGTTGTAAGGAGTGGTCAGGGTGGGGAGAGTGCAGACCATTGATAATAGCACGCAAAGAGGGGTCGCGGCGTTGTTCAGCAGCTATGTCGGTTAAGTCGGTAATTGAAAGAACGAGGGCTTCTTGTTCATCTTCCCTCGTGTCAGGGGGATCGACTGGGTGACGGGACAAGCAGTCGGCATCCTTGTGAAGTTGTCCGGATTTATAGGATACGGAAAAAGTGTACTCTTGTAAGCGCAGTGCCCAGCGACCAAGGCGTCCCGTAGGGTCCTTGAGTGAGGAGAGCCAGCAAAGCGCATGGTGGTCCGTAATAACTGAGAATGGTCGGCCATACAGGTACGGTCGGAATTTTGCAATGGCCCAGACGAGAGCTAAGCACTCGCATTCTGTGATGGAATAATTTTGTTCCGAGCGCGACAACAGTCGGCTTGCATACGCGACGACGCGGTGCATGCCTTGTTGCCGCTGCGCCAGCACTGCGCCTATGCCGTGGCCACTGGTGTCAGTACGAAGCTCCGTGGCGG